TCATTTTATATGCTTTAAGGTGGGAACCGAAAATGGAGAGCTTAGCAACGAAGCACCGGGCTTCAGAGTAGCAAAATGTTATCAATCACGACAAGACATAGTAGTACACTTACAGTATTGGAATAGTGTTGGAACTTCTATGTGTAGGGTGATAGTTGAATAGTTTCTTTGATTATAGAGTTATTCATTGTACGAGAATTGAATTTTTTTCATACTAATGGATAAGTATGATTTGGTTGGAGAATTATAAATAACTTGTTTCTGGTGGAAGAATAAATAGTGTATAATCCTATAGTAGAAACTATTTAGAGGTCTCACACTTTCGTTCTTCACCTTCCAATCTCCTCTGAACAATGTTCTTGGTTATGGTAAACTTCCTATGTTTATTTATTATTTTTTTTTCAAAGCTTGAATCTGTGGTGGAAGAGGAGTTGTTACCCAGTGTTATTTTTGTAAGTTCATATGTTTTTTGTTTAAGAATTTAGCATTTTTAAGAACTTTTACTAGAAATCCTTGCACGAGCATACTCCATTCTTAAAATGATCACTTAGGTTAGTCAATCCGACCCTAGACGCTTTCATTGATAAAATTGCGGTAGGAATGGAGATCTTTCTTAGAGGACTAGAGCATCTAAAGCTAAGTTGGAGAATATTCAATGCCTACTTTAAAATTATCCTAGAAATGACTCTCTTATTGCAGAAGAGAAAGACTAGCTGTGAAGTATAGAGAACTCAGTACAGCTGAAGAAGCTTTTTTCAAGCAAAAGTCAAGAATTTCTTGGATAGATTTTGGAGATCATAAGATTGGTGCGTACTGAAATAGTAAGCTCAAAAAGATAAAAAAAGACTATTAGGAACTCTTTATAGCATAACTATGATGGCAGAATGAGGAGTTCAAATTCAGAATAAGACTGTGGCTTAATGTCAGAACAGAACCTGCTAGGGAAGTTACTCAGGATGAGGCTCCTAGGCTTGGTGAGTAGCCCTCCATCTGCAACTTCTCTATGATTTTCTCCAGCATCATGTGAATTTCCTTCACTTGTGGGTGCGATCCATCACCCATTTTGAATTCATGAATGATGTCATCTAAGTCAATCATGTTAATTCCCGGTGTTGTCCTGATACCCCTTCCCTTCATCAATTTTCTCAACTTTTCGACATCCTCCCATCTCCTATCCTTTGCATAATGCTTCCAATTCTTTCACCAAATTTAGAGGGTCCATCTCAAGCAAGATTTTTTCAATTCTTTCACCAAGTTCAACATTTTTATGTATCCTGCAAGCACCCAAAAGTGTTTCGCAAACAGCTGCATTGGGTTTCATTAGCATTGAGGCAATAAGCTCCTCTGCCTTTTCCAAGAGCCCTACTTTTCCTAGCAGATCAACCACACAATCATAATGCTCCATTTTTTGTTCAACACCATAAATCTTTTGCATTGAATTAAATATCTTTACACCTTTATCAACCCATCCTTCATGAGCACAAGCATTTAAAATACAGACAAAAGTAATCCCATTTGGTCTCAATACCCTCTCCCTCTGTATTTTGAAGAAGAGCTCAACAGCATCCTCTGCTCTGCCATGCATATCTAGTTCTCTCATCATTGCATTCCAAGATAACAATTCATTCTCCTTCATATTCTCAAAAACATCCGAAGCCAAGTTAATGCGCCCACATTTAGCATACATGTCCACCAATAACATCCCTATTAATTCTTCCTTTAAAACTGCATCCAATTTGATAGAATTTTTTCTTACATAAGCATGAGTCCACCTGCCTTGATCAACTGCCCCTAGATTAGCACAAACAACCAGAACACTTGACAAGATAAATTTTTTAGGCCTAACTTTCTTTCTTTGCATCTCATTGAATATCTCCAATACCTCCTTGTAACACCTTGTTAACACTGCTCTTTTACTGCTTACTGATTTCTTTTTCCATCTTGTTAGGAAAAATTAGAGGAGGTGGCATTGGTGGCAAATCTTGCTAAACCTGGCTACACGCTCAAACTGTTATCCCTTGTTTCATCAGTTGGTTTGGTTAGTATGATTAATTCCTTATAAGATGTAACTATCAAGACTAGACCATGTTTACATTTAGATAGTTTCTGTTTGAAGCACTAATGAATTATAACATAATAATAAATCTATTTAGGGATGGCAATGGGGTTAGTTCGGTGTGGGTTTTGCCAAAACCGAACCCGCCCCAATTTTTTTTTTAAATTGGTTTTCTTTACACTGTGTGATGGGGGAGTGAAGTCGATAATTAGAAAAATTATAACTTGCAGATGAGGGTTATGTGAACTCTGTCAACATAGAATGAGGTTAAATAAATATTACTAGAAATTTATTCCCCAAACAGGCGAAAGTGTGTGTTGATTAAAATGTATGTTATGACTTGCTTTGATTTGGAATAATTAAACTCATTGTTTCTTTTTGTTTCAAGCATTTGGTATCATTTCTGTTAACACATTAGATAAGAAAAATATATATTTTGAGACGTGTAGTTATTTTACTATGCCAGTTTATTATATTTCATGGGCTAGTAGTTCATAAAAGGCGCGAGA